GGGCAAGTGCCAGGCTTTCCCAGAAAACCTGCGTGGAGACATTGGTTCCTGATAGCTCAGCAGATAACCTTGTGCATGTATGGCTTCCAGTCCAGAAGCCACCCCTTAATTCTCTGTAAAGAGAACTCCAGTAGGAAGGTCTTGAATTAAGATATGATGAGAAACATTCCTTACTCCCAGAGACACCCTCTGACATGTAGCCAGGTGATGACCTTCCTCCTGGCTGCCACCCTGGATTCTCTGGTTGACCTCTCTTCCCAGCCTGCTCCCTGCTTCCCGTCTGGTACACCTTACCATCACTTTTGGGTTTGTAACATTGACAAGTGTAGTGAGGACAGCCCACAGACTTTGCTTTTTTAGTGCCATATGCTCCTGTGGTGTGTACGCTAAAAAGTGCAACCACTCGCTGCCAGCCCACCTCCAGCTTCTCCACATGAGCCAAAACTTCCCACCCAGATGGTGCCATTTTATTTGAAATACTTGCACATTTTTGTAAAGCAGGGTGGATGAAATGGAAAATAATTTCATATCTTATCATAGTAAGAAAGCTTACTCCCCCCTCCCTCAGGGCACATGTGACTTAAAGGACTAGCTACTATCTCCTTTTAATTAAATTAACAAAACCAGAGTGCTCAACCAGACGGTCTTATTATCACAGGGTGGAGGTCTTATTTTCAAGGATCTGGTCCAATGTAGTACATAAAAGACTGTCAGTAAATATTGTTGAAATTATAGTTTATTCACTAGTTTGAATTATACCTGTCATTTCTCTCTTTTTGTGTGGTAAGTTTATAAGTATGTGTCTTTCAGAACCCTGGGAGAGGGGCCTTGCCTTGCTGCCCCTTTCAGATCATCCCATGGAGTCCCCACCTTTGCCAACATTAGAAACATCATGTTAGGATGCCTGAGTGGCTCAGACAATTAGGCATCTGCCTTTGGCTTAGATCTTGATCCCAGGATACTGGGATTAAGTCCCACATTGGGCTCTTGCTCAACAAGGAGTCTGCTTCTTTCTCTGCCCCCCTCTGCTTCTGCTTGTGTGCGCGCTCTCTCTCTCTCTCTGACAAATAAATAAACAAAATCTTGAAAAAATAAATTAAAAACACAAAAACAAAAACATCACTTTACTCACCTGAGTCTAACTTGCTTCACTAATATTAGGGAGAAGACATAAATCTCCCAGCTAAACTCGAGGAGCTGTTGTCTTAAGAATCAGATAAAATACATGGAGGTCAAAGCACTGGCCTTGGTAAATTATACAGTGCTGGGGGCATTTAAGAATGCGGAAACTGGCATCCAGCACCCAGGTTTGAGTCTTGCAATGCTGTTTATAACCATATTACTTTGAAAAATGCATGTAACTCCCATGATTCTCAGTGGCGTCATCTGTAGAAAAGGGATACTGATATCTACCATGTGAAGTTGCGGTGAGGACTGAATGGGATAAATGTGTGGGAGGTACACAGAGTCTGACACAGGGAGTGTTTGAAATACGTGATTACTAAGATTGTCATCATTAACATGAACCATCTCAAAATGAGAGTGATGCCCTGATGTTGGTATGCTGTTGGATCGGGGGATCTCCATGGCAGGAGGCTGCAGGTACGTCTTTAGGTCTCTGGTAGGTGTCTCTGGCCCTGGAGGATGGTGACAGTCATAGCTCCTACATGAATGGTCCGGCCGAGCTTGTTTCTCTCAAAGAGCTTTTGATACAATTAGTATACTTAAAATTAATGTAATTTGTAGACATTTCTGTTATAGGTACTTATTCTCTTATTCTGAGAAATGACAGGATTTGGATTCTTTATAAGTTCAGGGCTTAAGCAATTTCATACATTTATTTGTTCAAGTACTTTTGAAAAGCTAAGAGAAAATTACTCATCATTTTATTATTAAAGATACATATTTATACATATTTGCATCAATTTTTAAATTTACATTCTAGTTAGTTAACATAGAGTATAATGTTGGTTTTAGGTATAGAATTTAGTGACTCATCACACTTAAAACAACCGCTGCTCATCACAAGTCCCCTCCTTAATGCCCATCACCCATCTAGCCCATCTCCCTGTCCACCTCCCCTCCAGCAACCCTCAGTTTGTTTTCTACAGTTGAAAGTCTCTTATGGTTTGCTTCCTTCATTCTCTCTCTCTCTCTCTCTCTTTTTTTTTTTTTGGCCTCCTTCTCTTTTTTTCCCTTCCTCTGTGTTCACCGTTTTGTTTCTTAAATTCCACATATGAATGAAATCATATGGTATTTGTCTTTCTCTGACTTATTTTGCTTAACATAATACATAATTTCCATCCTTGTTGCTGCAAACGGCAAGATTTCATTCTTCTTATGGCTGAGTAATATTCCATTGTGTATATATACCACACCTTCTTTATTCATTCATCAGTCAGTGGACACTTGGGCTCTTTCCATAATTTGGGCTATTGTTGATAAAGGTGCATATTACATTTTATTATAACTCATATTTCATTTCATTCACATTTTTCCAATATGTTGCAGGCATCATTTTTGCTATTGTCTTTCATATTAAAGCTGAACTATGGCTCTAACGAAAACTAGGTTCCTTTTTTTCTTCTTGTGGAGACTGATGGCTTCCACATACATAAGGGAAGGAGAGGAGTTAAAGAGCATGAAATAAACTGTACATATTCTTTGGATTAGGGGCATTCCATTAATTATCTCAGGAGCTCTATGAGGTAAACATTGTATTTCCCATTTTATAGTTGAGAAACTGAAGCTCCATTTTTAGTGACCTCTTCAAAATCTAACAGAGGGAAAAATAAGGACTGGAACCCAAGTCTACCCAAGCAGGGAACTGTCTCCTCCACCTAACTTCATAAAGTAAGAAGAGAATATCAGGGTCACTAAATATGAGAGCAAAGTCAAAGGCACTCCCCACTATAATCTTTGTTAATATCAGGGATTCTTGGAGAGAAAGTTGACAGAATAGGAGGTTGGCTTATAAGATGCACTTTTCAAACATAAAACTATACCTTAAAGAAGACATTTGAACAGATAGCATTTCAGTCTTGCTCATTGGAAATATTTGCTCTGTCTCAGTAAGTGAATTTCCCTAGTTATCTATGCCTTTATAATACCTATGCTCTGAGCATTGGCCATATACATTTACCCATTATTTATTTATTTGAGAGAGAGAGAGAGAGAAAGATCACAAGTGGGGGAGGGGATGGGCAGAGGGAGAAGAAGACTCTCAGTTGAGCAGGAAACCTGACATGGACTCGATCCCAAGACCATGAGATAGTGATCTGGGCTAAAGGCAGACACTTAATGGGACTGAACCACCCAGGCACTCCACATTTAATAAAATTTATAGGCCACTTAACAATATTTGAGTGAAAATTTTAAAGGTAAAACATGACATATTTTAAAATAAGCTTCTCATTCTCCAGATTAAAGCACTGTTTAAATAGCAGAGCATCAGAATGGAAACCCACAGATACTGACTCTGTGCCATGCTTTACCATGCCTTCAACCCAGCACAGACAAAACATTTTCTAGCAAGAAGGAAAGAGAGGAGGGGAAGACTTGGGGGAGGGTAAGTGGGACGCTAAGAGTGATCCTGTATGTCACACATTTTGTGTCATGTCATCTACTGCCTTTACCTCTGGTATGGCCATTCGGTTTTATTATCTTTATGTGACAGGACATGAAACTCAGAAAAGTCATACACTAAATCCAGACTCTGGATGATCTAACTTCATAGAAGACCACCTTGCCTCCCAGGAGAGCCAAGGTTGTTCTGTTACTACATGTTAAAAGACATTTCTCATGTAGAAATTTATGTATTGAAAGACACCCTAGCAGTGATCAATAAAAACCATTGATATTGATTTTATAAAGAAAGCAGTAAATTTCCATAGGACAGCTCCTTATAAGTGACCCTAAATAACAGTCAAAACCATAACACTAAGAAGGTATGTGGGGCATGACTGAATTAATTACGATAAGGTCTATATATCTAAGGTGTATAGAAAGTAATTAACATGGATTTCCCCTACATATTCAGAGGCATTTGGCCTCTGAAAACCTGCTGATACTGTTTGGAATGTTTCATGCCCTATAGATCCCTCAGGGAGCATTCTCTAAGTAAAACAGTCCTCTTAATTCAGTTTTAGTTGAAAATAGAATTGTTCTAAACTTCATGTTATAATGGGAAGAATAATTTGGCCTTAAAGGCAATGTTTTTGGCCTGTTTTGAAAATTACTGTCCCCTCAGTTGGAAGAAGAAACAACTTATGTGTTTTAAAAATCTCTCAAGATGAGAGTAAAGAAAAACTGAGTTCTCACCTACTGTGCTAATTACATTTTGTGCTGTGATGTGTATAAGTAAGAACTCAGCCAGACTTATTTACATAATGCATTTACAATGAAAAACTAATGGCATACTGGCAAACAAAAGTCAACAAACTTAGCTGTGTTTTAGCCATTGAAACTGAATGTATTTTAAAAATGAAAACCATTTTGAATTTTCAAAAGACGTAATTACAATGATGGATTTCTTCAAAATGACCCTGAAGAAAAGTTGAAGAAGCTTTATCTTTTGTTTTACACAGTGAAAAGGAAGAAATAAAAAAGTATAAAAAAAGCAACTCCAGGTAGGATTAAAATGAATTGCCAGTCACAAAATAAAGACCAACCTGTATTATGTGCGAGTCTGACAAAAAGATCTGTTATGTATATTCATCTATTCATCTATGCTATTTTATTTGCACTATATTTTGAACAAAGCACCAGAATAAAAGCTAAGTCAAGTCAAAGATTTTTGTCCACTTTTTTCCTATTACCCTTAATGTCTAGAACAGTCCTTTTACATATTAGATGCTCAATAAATATATAAAGAATAAGTGAATGAAAAACAAATTCAATAGTTCAAAGGTTGTTACAAACACATTTGGATTTGTGTTATAAACACACTCATGGATTTGATACAAAGTTGAAGAGAAATGCTCTTGTTTCTTGTCTTTTAGATACACAAAGATGAAGACAGCAACCAACATTTATATATTTAACCTGGCGTTGGCAGATGCTTTGGTTACTACAACCATGCCCTTCCAGAGCACAGTCTATCTGATGAATTCGTGGCCATTTGGGGATGTGCTGTGCAAGATAGTCATTTCCATTGACTACTATAACATGTTTACCAGCATATTCACCTTGACCATGATGAGTGTGGACCGATACATTGCTGTGTGCCACCCTGTCAAAGCTTTAGACTTCCGCACCCCCATGAAAGCAAAGATCATTAACATCTGTATTTGGCTCTTATCATCGTCTGTTGGCATATCTGCGATAGTCCTTGGAGGGACCAAAGTCAGGGAAGGTAAGAACAGTCGTGTTCATCTCATTTTTACAATCCTACTTCTAATTAGGCAAACTTTCAGTTTGGAAATGAGTAGGACACATATCTAGGGGAAAAACAAAAAACCAGTGGAAACACAAGGCATAAATCCATGGAAGGTGAGAAACACAACACTTTTATGCTTTCTATGTCTAAACATAGGATGGATAAAGACATTACCCAAACATAGATGCCCAAACTATCTGCTACTCTGGAAGAGTTTATCAGAATCTGGAGAGGTGGGGATGAAGCAGGGAACCACAGGCATGTAGATTTTTAAAATACAATTTATTGCATGCTGGCAATTGTAAGATACACCTACTTGGTCCTCTTCTTCCTCCTTAAAAAAGGATGCTAAATCATTAGAAAGCTATGCTGACTCTTTACTCATTTTCTTTAGGGATTAATCTCCATGTCACCATTATAACACCTTCATTTGGTTGTAGGACATTCAGAATTGGGTTCACTGATGGATGATAGTACACATGAGCAAAACTTAGATTTTGGATATACTAGTTCTTACCTAATGCAAACATGATACCTGATGTTTTCCCAGTATTACTAGGGTAGTGGTTCTCACCCTGGGCTGCATGTTGGATTCACCTGGGTACTTCAGAAAATACAGATGATCCTTGAATAATGTTGGTGCACCAACCCCAGGCAGTCAAAAATCCTTGTATTACCTTTGACTCCCCCAAACTTAACTACTGATAGTGTACTGTTGACTCAGAAGCCTTACTGATAACATAAACAGTTGATTAATACATATTTTATATGTTATATGTTTGTATCCTGTATTCTTACAATAAAGTAAGCTGGAGAAAATAAAGTGTAATGGAGAAAATCATAAGGTAAAGAAAATTAATTTTTAGTACTGTTCTGTAATAATAAAAAAACTGCGTGTAAGTGCACATGTGCAGTTTAAACCCATGCTGTTCAAGGGCTATACTGCTGCCTCGGTCCCACACCTGGAGGCTCTGGTTTAATTGACCAGAGGCACAGTCTTTGTATCAAGGTATTTTTAAAGACTGACTGATTGATTGATTGATTGATTGATTTATGGGGGGTGGGTATAAGGAGGGGGAGAAAGAAACCTAAGCGGACTTCATGCTGAGCATGAAGCCCAATGTGGGGCTTGATTCCAAGATCCTAGCTGAGACCAAGAGTCAGATGCTTAACATCTGTGCCACCCAGGCACCCCTGGGTGTTAAGATTTTTAAGATGTCCCTAGGGACTCTTATCTGGCCAGGGTGAGGACTACTGCCCCATCAGTTTTACTTTACTAGTAAAAGTAAAGCTATGAAAATATCTTTGGTTTTAGTAGAAATCCATTGGGGAGAGGGGAACAGAACCGTCACTTTGGACTTTATAAATGCTGTTTATTGTTGTAGCAGTTCTCTAAAAAGTCTAGTTTATTAGGGAGGCTCATGACACTTGTAAATACAGATAATTGAATATGTGTAGTAGGGACCTACCAGATCATAGAAAGGGCAGGTGCTAAAATCATAGCTTCTCCAGCATAGTTCACATTTGTAATGAAACACAATCTTTTCCCTCTTAAACTATAAAATGAATTTCCAGCTTAGTTGTGGAAGGTTTAACACCTATGCTATAATATTTGGTAAATTTTAAGATATGCCAAACTTTATCAGAGAAGCATTTTAATTATACACACAGGATTTTGTTTCTTTGTGTATACAACAAATGGACATATAGTTGCAAGAAATGCTTCCCAGCCTAGGGTGTTGATGTTTAATAACTGGATTCAAAAGGAGAGGCTGCATATACCCCATGAGGACTAGAAGAATGGGCCAAATGATAAAAGAAGGTGGCGATCTTCCCTAGGCAAATGAGGAACTGATTTTGATATTTCATGACATACTTGCAGACTTAGCCACTGGACTCCTCTAATCATTGTCAGAAAAATGACATCCTAGAAGCAATGGATTTCAATTCAGTTTTTGAAAGACGAAATGAAGATAAATGTAGGTTTTCCAGGAAGGAGTTGCTATAGATGAATGTGTGCAGATGCCATCAAGAAAGGATCTACCAGTATTGGGAGATTAATTTGTGCAGCAAACAGAGGGGAAAATGGGAAAAATTAAAGTAGTTTTGTAGAGAGCTCATTTCTTTCTTTGTTTCTTTTTTTTTAATTATAAAAAGATGATTCTTTAAACAATTTTCTAAAGCGGATTTTGACTATGTGATGAAAGATTGTCTCTGAACCATCTAATATATTCATTTTTGAGTGCTGAGTGACACTCCTTGTCAAGACTGTTGGGTGACCAAGAGGAGTTTTTTAGACAATCTCTGTGCCCTGAATCAGAACTGAATGGCATTGGTAGTTTATACTGTCATGTTTGTGGAGAATGCTTACTGAAGGAAATCAGGCATCAACTACATTAGAACACATCCACCTAGATGAGAAATTTCAGTTAATGCTTCTGAGTTTCTTTCTGGTTTCTTTTTGGTTAAGACCACAGATTCTGGAAGCAAAGTGCCTGGGATTGAATCCTGATTTCATCATTTATGGACACTATCCTTTTGGAGACATTACTTAGATTTCTGTCCCTCAATGTCCTTATCTGCATAATAGGGATAAATAATAGTGTCTACCTCCTAGGGTGTTTTCCAGATCTAATGAGTCAGTGCATGGAAAGTTAAGAAGCAGGGCCATGTCTAGTAAGCCATTGGTAAATGTTAATTAGCATCTTTATCTGACATAGTGATTTTAACTGGTCCTGCCTTATTGCTTATGTTTATTAACATCTGTAGGGTATTCATTCAATATCGAGGGCTCTTGCATGCAGCAAGAATTTCACTTTATGGGTATATGATGTTAAATATAACATTTTACACAGTATATATGTGTGTACTATTTATTTTGGGAATTCATAGTCTGTTTATTACCACTACTATAATTACTAAGTTATGGTAATGACTACAAACAGAAACAGAATTATTCTTTTTTTTTAAAGATTCTGAGGATTTTAAAGATTTTATTTATTTATTCAACAGAGAGATCACAAGTAGGCAGAGAGGCAGGCAGAGAGAGAGGGGGAAGCAGGCTCCCTGCTGAGCAGAGAGCCCAATGTGGGGCTTGATCCCAGGACCCTGAGATCATGACCTGAGCTGAAGACAGAGGCTTAACCCACTGCGCCACACAGGTGCCCCGAAACAGAATTATTCTTAACAAAAAGAATAAACACAAGGCAAGCTTTAGTTTAGATATTAGAACTAACTCCATAATTATGACAGCCTTGAGACATTGGAACATGTGCTACAGAAAGCTACAGCCTTTTAATATTACTATAAAGAGAAAAGAAAGACTTTTTAGAAAGCCACTTTATGAACATAGACGAGCAAAAAGCTGTGCATATTTCATGTGAACAACTCAGTGAATTCGAGATAAATATACACCTGTGAAACCATCACCCCAACAAGACCACAGGCATCTGTCACCTCCTAAAGTTTCGTTCTGCCTTATTATTTTTCTTATGTGATAAGAAAATTTAGCATAAGATCTATCCTCTTAGCAAATGTTGAGTATGCTGTACAATATCGTTAGCTATAAAACCTATCTGCATAGTGGATCTACAGAACTTTTTTTGTAAAGATTTTACTTATTTATTTGACAGAGAGTGAGAGATCACAAGTAGGTAGAGAGGCAGGCAGAGAGAGAAAGGGGGAAGCAGACTCCCCGCTGAGCAGAGAGCCCAATGGGGGACTCGATCCCAGGACCCTGCTGAAGGCAGAGGCTTAACCCACTGAGCCACCCAGGGGCCCCTCTATAGAACTTTTTTACTTGCTTAATGGTAACCTTTGGCCACTGCCTTCCATCCCTCCTGCCCCAAGCTCCTGGAAACCGCAGTTCTACACCTGCTTCTATGAGATTCTACATATAAGGGAGATCGTATAGTTTTTGTCTTTCTGTGTCTGGCTTATTTCATTTAGCATAATGTTCACCAGATCTATCCATGTGGCCACAAATGGCAGGATTTTTTTCATTTTAATAACTGAATAATATTCCATTGTGTATGTGTATATACACATCATATACCACATTTTCTTTATCCATTCATCCATTGGTGCACAGTTTCCCCCCCCATATCTTGGCTATTGTAAATAATGCTGCAGTGAACATGGGAGTACAGATATCTTTGAGATATTGATTTCATTTCCTTTGGACATATACCAAGAAGTGGAACTACTGGATTATATGATAGTTCTATTTTTACCTTTTTGAGGAACCTCCATACTGTTTGCCAGAATGGCTGTACCAGTTTGCATTCCCACCAATGGGGGTTCCCTTTTCTCCACATCCCTGCCGACACTTACCTTTTTTTAAATGTTTGATAATAGCCACAGTAAGAGGTATGAAGTGATATCTCATTGTGATTTTGATTGACACTTCTCTGATGATTGGTGATGTCGAGCACCTTTTTATAATCCTGTTGGCAGTTTGTAAGTCTTCTTTGGAGAAATGTCTATTTAGGTTCTTTGCCCATTTTAAATCAGGTTATTTGCTTTCCTGCTATTGAGTTGTATGATTTCCTTATATATTTTATTTTATTTATTTATTTTTTAAGATTTTATTTATTTATTTGACAGACAGAGATTACAAGTAGGCAGAGAGGCAGACAGAGAGAGGAGGAAGCAGGCTCCCTGCTGAGCAGAGAGCCAGACATGAGGCTTGATCTCAGGACCCTGGGATCATGACCTGAGCTGAAGGCAGAGGTTTTAACCCACTGAGCCACCCAGGTGCCCCATGATTTCCTTATATATTTTAGATATTAACCCCTTTCAGATACATGATGTGCAAATATTTTCTTCCATTTTGTAGGTTGCCTTTTCATTTTGTTGTTTCCTTTGCTGTGCAGGAGGGGTTTTTTGTTTGTTTTGGGTTTTTGGTTTTTGTTTGTTTGTTTTTAGTTTGAATTAGTTTGATGTAATCTCACTTGTTTATTTTTGGTTCGTTTCTT